TTTTTAACAATTCAAATACGAATGTGGAGTTCAACGTGTGTCTCCTGAGCTAGTTAAAAGGATACAAATTGCGGCATCTTAGCTCAAACCGTTCGAAAGTTATTCGCGTTTTTATGGATCTTCGACAGACGATGCTGATTCTTTAGAGTTTTTTCGAGCATCGATAGAGCTAACCGAAATATGGACGACACGCACGAAAACGTGTAGATTAATTGCTATACATTGTTGTCGAAACTTTAAGCACTGTAGGTATGCAATCGATTATACGCTGAAATATGGCAGAAACGATGAAATACTTAAAATTCTATTGCATGCTTTTAAACGGCGGCCACGTCAGTCGCGCTGGAGGAAACATATTTCAGCTGGGATTTGTTTATCGTCAGGTCTCCATGCCAAATCTCAAATCTACATAACATTTTAATCCGTAATTATTATTGCGGAGGCCCCAGAAATAACTATCTCGAAAGCAGAGCTCGGGCTTTTGATTTCGTCTCTTTGTACGTCTAAAGGAACGATACCAAAAATTAATTTAGATTTTTTGTTTTGAAAAAACTACCGCCGCAACGTTTCCGCCACGCGACGCTTCAAATTTTTGCAAAAAATTTTTTCGATAAGCAGCAGTCTAGATATAATTAGGGAATAAAATTTTACTTCTACTACTTCAAGTTTAAAGATTTACGTTCTTTACGAATTACCCTGCATTTCAGAAATTCTTTATTTAAAAAAAAAAATCCTCACTTCAGTTGGAAATTCTGTCTTGTTTTTCAGAAATTATGACTTGTTTCTCAGAAATGCAGACTTATAACAAATAACAAATAACAATCGTATTCACATTGCAGATATACGCGCCAGCAACAAAATTTAAATATGGTATGTGACAGCATTAGTTAATCTTTTTATCTTAAATGTAAATATAAAGTCATTAAATATTAGTTTTTGCTTTGCAGTTAATATTTGTGACACAGTTAACATAGTCATCACTGATTTGTACTCTCTGAAATTCTGGTAGTCTATAGTTTGGTATTCTAAAGCATAAAGTTCAACTATACTGCAAATATGACGCCGCTAAGCTATTGTAAATTAACAATTTTGTATAGGTTGTTAAATTTTTGCTTGAATCATACTTCATATATTGTGTTCTGCTAGACAATTAAGATTTTAACAAATCCAAGATGTAACGTATTTTATATCCATATTTTCTAATTAATCTATTACAGTATCCCTATTAACAGTCTCCAAAGCTCTTCAAATGTCTAACATACAGCCAAAACAAAACTATTTACGACTTATATATCGTAAATTCTGCTGTTTCTCAGAAATTCTGACTAGTTTCTTAAAAATCTTAACTTAAGTCATAGATTCTGATTTGTTTTTCAGAAATTGTTACTTATTTCTCAGAAATTCTGAGTTGTTTTTCAAATATCCTAATTTAAGTCAGAAATTCTGAATTGTATCTCTGAAATTCTTTTTTGTTTCTCAAAAATCCCAACTCAAGTCAGAAATTCTGGCTTGTTTTTCATAAATTCTAACTTGTTTCTCAGAAATTCTGACTTGTATCTCCGATATTCTAGCGTGTTTCTCAGAAATTATTTCTTGTTTCTCAAAAATCCTAACTTAAATCAGCAATTCTGGATTGTTTTTCATAAATTCTGACTTGTTTCTCAGAAATTCTGAATTGTATCTCTGAAATTCTGATTCGTTTCTCAGAAATTCTAACGTAAATGTTGTCTTGTCTCTCATAAATTCTAAAATTTTTCTCTGAAATTATGACTTATTCTTTAAAAATATGCTTCAATGGACTAACACTTATATATCATTTTTCGATAGTCTTTTAGAGCTTTTTATCGTCAATTCCCATTACCAACCTGGGTTGGTCTCCTGTTTATAAAGCTTATAAAGTCTCTCATTGTATAGAGAGGATCATCATCAGCAAGCAACTCGAATATCATGAAAATATAAAGTTTTCAATCCAAACAGCTGTATATGCTTCGCATAGAATTCAAGTCCGAATAGCCATTAAAGAATGATCCTAATTATCAAAGCTATATCAGAACGTGTTGAGTACTTTTTTTGCAACATTTTGACACCAACATTTTCAAAATCCGTTAAAAAATAAGCTGACAGGAAGGAAAAAAGCAGAAAAGTAAATACATTTTTATAAAAACAAGATATTACTTAGGTGACTTTGCTTCTATTCATTGTTAACTGTCAAGTCAGTAAGATTAAAAATGCAGAGGAAACCCTCGACAAGCTTATGCAGTGGAAAGCAGGAAACAGATTATATTTAAAAAAAAAACATTCAAGGGAGATTCAACGATTAGACTTTTTTGTTGAAGTTGTTTTATTATGTTAAAAAGTTGATATGCTTTTGGAATATGGGGATACAGTCAAAAACTAACATATACATACGTTATAAGCTACAAGCACTTTTTACCGGAAACTCAGAAGAACAAGAAAATAGAAATATGTTCTTTTCTTTTAAAATCTGTCACTTTTTCGGATAATTCAACACAATATTTTCAAAATCTCCACAATGTCGGTAGAATCGATTTGAAAGTGGTATATCAACATGTCTTACTGTAAGGTAAGTTTTACATTGACACAAAACATCACATTCGTTTATTTTGGAACTGCAGTTTTGTATTTATTTGAATTAAATAAGTGCGATAGATATTTAATTAATAAGAAATTTATTTTAAGATGAAACTTTAATTCGCTGTAATCCTTCCTAATATTTCTGGATTTATCTTGGTCGAAAACTGGAATTACATAAACACGGTCTTTCACGTGCCCCCAAACAAAAAATCTAATGGTGTCACGTCCGGTAACCGTGGGGGCCAATTGACCGGACCGTGTGTTCAGTGACATCTCTAAAATTATGCTGAAAATACATATTTAATGTCACGGAAAGAGGTAAATCATCTAATGAGTCATTTCTTAGGAATTGTAAATATCGTGCCCCATGAAACAAAAAAACGTTCTTGAAACTGCCCGGGACGTCAGTTGTTCTGTCTGTTAAACATAGCATTATTTGAGAAAGAAAAAAAAACGTATTTACTTATCTGGTTTTTTCCTACCTGTTGAGTTACTTTTTAACGCATTTTGAAAATGTTTGTGTCAAAATGTTGCAAAAAATTACCGGTGCTAAAACGTTTTTGTTCCCATTGGGTTGCTATTTGAAAAAACTAGGTAATCCCAGAAAATTGATAGTTCATTGCATTAAATGCTATTTGCCATTAGGCTAGTAAATAAAAGTTTCATTTCACAATTTTTCCCATGATCAGGTGAACAATCAGATACAATTTTCAAAAATTAAATCAAAATTAAAAAAAAAAGAAAAACCGTCCTACGTAGAATGGTTACCTGAATCAAAAAATGAAAAAAACAATTGGTTGTGCTATTTAAAATTGGAAATTTACTGTCGTTTCCGCTCAAACCGGAAGTACAACCACTGGCTACATATTGTCAAAAGATTGGACACTTTCATGTGTCACCCGGTATAATACAAAAAGAATGGAAATGTCACTTCTTTTTTTAATTGAATTTCGCTTGCGAAATTGGTTAATTGATGATATTGAGGCTGGTTATGTAAATACCTACAGCAAATAAACTATTATGATTATAATTATTAATAGAATTGTGAATATGTGAACACTTCTATCGGGTAAAAATCTTCGTCCGAATGACTGCAGATAGCAGCGGTTCGGTGGCGGTGGCATTTTAATTTGCCCGACTCCCGAGACAGATCCCGGCGAATGTTGACACACTGGCGAATGAAATAAACGATGTGGCATTAGCTAGATCCGGGCGGACGTGTACGCTGAAAATGTCCGTTTCCTTTAGTTCCCCTTGGTTTATCAAGTTTTCCAGATACACTGCGCGAGAAAAAGTATTTCATAATTTTTCGACCGACATTGTCGAAAAAATAAAATATAAGCTTACTGACTTACTTAACAATATTTCGGATATATTAAACAGAGAATCTGGAACCAAAACTTCTCAGCTTAATTGGAGAAAGGACAGACTTATTATACATTGGCCTAATGATTCTGGCAGTTGCGCCCACAGAAGTAAAGAAGAAGAAGAAGAACGTCATATGCGTCTAACAATCAAAGGCTAACATGAAACTCAACTGTAGTTCTAAACCGGAGTCTTTGACTAACGGCAATGCCACAGAGGGAACAGTTCTAGTATCTTAACATACTGCAAACATACTGCCATCAGACTGTGAGTTTGCTCTGCAAAATGTCTGTTCAAAGTAGCGCTGCTGGTCTGAGGATTCAAGGAAAACTATCCTGTCTATTAGCCCTCGTCTCTCACGCCTATATCTTACAGCACATGAATAGGTACTCTCCTTTTGTCCAAGACTGTCGCTACTGTTGGCTATGGCAAAATGACAAATGTTTACCTTACAACTGAGTAAATAAGTTCATGGAATTTATTGCGGTGTCGGTAAATTAAAAAAAAAAACGTATGGATTTTCCTAGAGCTGAATTAATGGAAATAATTTATATACTGAGTGAAGGCTAAAAACTAGTACTTTTAAGAATAATTAAAAAATTGAAAAAGTACGTAATAAAAAAGGAAATAATTTTGAAAAGAGTGTGTTCATAACAATTATTGGTCACGCTTTTTTGAGCCACCCTTTATACTAAAAAATATATTTTTGAAACCAACAAGATAGTGATTTTTTTAAGTAAAAATGAAATTGAAAATATGCATTGCATTTGACAGATTTCCCGTGTGAAGAAAGCGACTATCAGTTATAAATAGATAAATAAGTATATAATAAACGATCAATTTATAGTTTGTTTGTCTGCTGCCAGGCGCCCGCGCGACGTTGCCGATTCGTTATCGCTTATTTATCATCTAAACGGCTCTAAGAATTATCTGGCGTTTTTCTCGATCGGGCGGATCAAAACATTGGCGGTATTAAAATACAATTACATCGAGTTTTAATCAGTATCGGTTGTTACCTTTCGGCTGTAGCCTGTAAACTGTTGTTTTTCGTTATCTCATTTTAAAAGTACGTGGAGATAAAGTTCGGTATCGGTCGAGGAAAGACGCCGAAGTTTGGTCCGGGATTTCCAACATCAACAGTTAACATGAGAACTTGAGAAAGCAGGTAATCTGCTTGATATTCTTCGGTATCTGAGCTGCTTTACCTCATTTTGACCTTACAATTAACTGCGAGAAAATTTTCATCTTTTTCCCGCTTTTCTATTGACTTTTTGAGGCCAAACGACCTTTCCCCTACCGAGTTATTCGGCCTTTGATATTTCTTCTCTTTTCTTCTTCTTTTTTCTCCTGTTCTTGAGTTCTCTGTCTCAGTTCTAGGTTAGGAACCCTGTCGGTCCGTGACGATCAAAAAGTAGGTAGATCGCGGAAACATTTGGGGTAATCTGCGAGATACGCTTCGTCATCTGAGCTGCTATTACCTCATCTTGATGTTATAATTAACAATTCGATGCACTGTGAACAAATCTTCTTCTTTTTCCGGTTCCCACTCCTATGATATTAGCTCTCCAAACCACGCCCTTAATTTTCTGAGCCTGGAAGTCCTTCCCCTACCCAGATTCATTCCGCTTTTGATCTTTCCTTCTAGAATATTATTGCTTTCTTCTTATTAATTTTTCTTCCTGTTTCTTTTCTTTCAAAAGTTCGATAAAATGAGGGAATATTTGGGGTTACTATAGGATATAATAAATAATATCTCTAATAAGGAAATTATTAGAGAGGAGAACAGATGTCGTTAATAATAATAATCGTCTTTATTGAGATATTTTAAATTGTTGTACAAGGTTTAGCGTAATAAAACAACAAGCTATAATGATAATAATCAGTCTCTAAAAATTAATTATAGGCACAGGATTAACTTGTTAGACTTTTGTAATTCCAGTAAGTGGACGTTAATTTTTTTCCCAAATACTACTGAGCTTAATTCAAAATTTTTATTATAGTTATCATAAAGCTTAATGGCACTATAGCTAGATTTACAAGGGTCATTCATGCAACGATACAAACATGTATTTTGTTTTGTGATCTGGATTTATCAGCAAGGGTTAAGAATTTAATAGAATAATCGAAGACAATATATAACTTTAGAAAAGAGAGTTTTTTTGTACTTTAAAATTCAACACATGTTTATTTGCATATAGTATATAGCATATAGGGGGATATATAGTTTTTTTTTATATAAATTATAAATATGACCACTACATCTCAATTGACTAACCATTATCACTCTAAGTAATATCACTAAGTTTTTTCTTCATTTCCCAATTGAATTTTTCTATGATAATTTGTGACTTTTTGGAATTTAGCTTAAGACTGTTTTTAAATATGCTGAAAAATACTTTTTAGATCCAAACTGAGATTAGCTTCTACGTTATCATACTTGGAGTTAAATGTGTTATTATTAACGGCGCGATTTATGGATAAATTAAAAAAAGAAAACTTTATATGAACATATGTCCTGAACATCTTAACTTTTGGGATAATTTTCAAAAATAAAATATGCTTTTTGATATCTGTAATACCGCTGTAGATATAGATATTTTTTTTATATTTATCTAAAACAAAATATTAAGTTTTTAGTTCAAAAAAAATTAGAAAACCTTAAAATCCCCCGTTAATTATTGGACATATACGAAATAATACGCAATTAAACTCTAAAGCCAATGAAAGTGCGAAATACAGTGTGGTTCACTAAAAATTTTTATTTTTTTTAATTCTACCACCCTTTGCAATATATTTTCGCCATATGTCAACGCGTTAAACATTAACCACTTCCATGGATTCAAATTCCTAATTTTAGTTTTCAGTTGTAACAAAACACACCTCATTTTCCTCAAAAAAAAATGTTTGTGGTGTTCCATTAAAAAAAAAAAAAATTCTAAAAATTGGGAGATGGTAGGAGGGGTACTAATTGAATTCAGTTTTTTAAATTCCATGGGGTTCTGGCTGGACAAGACGTGACCAAAACTAGCAAAAAAGTACCTTGCTAACGCCATTTTTAATGCTGACAAAACTGGTATTTTTTACAAAATGACGCTTCAATTTCGAAATGAAAAATGTGTTTGCGCAAAACTTTCTTAACAACGTATAACACTTATATATATATATATATATATATATATATATATATATATATATATATATATATATATATATATATATATATATATATATATATATATATATATATATATATATATATGATGACACTATATTCCGGGATATCATCCGTTCGCTCGTTGAACTCCGACTGGAATCCTGCAAATCCTGCATCCGACTGGAATCCTGCAGACGTTTCGCCAAAATCTCACTTGGCATCTTCAATGCTCGCGCTCCGAAAACACTTCGAACACTGCGGAGCATTGAAGATGCCAAGTGAGATTTTGGCGAAACGTCTGCAGGATTCCAGTCGGATGCAGGATTTGCAGGATTCCAGTCGGATGCAGGATTCCAGTCGGAGTTCAACGAGCGAACGGATGATATCCCGGAATATAGTGTCATCATATTTTTCCATCCGTGAATCAATACGTGAGAATATATATATATATATATATATATATATATTATTATATTATATATAATTATATATTATATTATAAAGTTTTCTATGTAAATAAGGTACCCTTGTGGCACCGCTCTAGAACACACCTTTTTCGAGAAAAATGCTTTTGAAAATTTGATTGCATTTTTTTGAAAGTTAATGACGCGTATCATTTGTTTGTGTTGCTGGGCAAATAAAAATTAAATGTGAATTATTCGACAGCTTTCATTTTTGTTCATTGTTGGTAAAAAATAGTTTTCACTTGGATTGTTGGATTAACGAAAGACCAATCAAACTATCAACTGTAAAGCTAATTATTCTAATAAAAATTATGAACTTTACATTTTAAAGAAGGTCATTAACTTCCAAGGCTTACTAATTAAAATAAAAAAATAATTTGTAATTATATTTTCAAAAGCATTTTTCTAGCGAGGTGCGTCCAAATTTCGATAAACAAAGAATTTAGGGCAAAATTTTTCCTGCGCCTCCCCTGAAGAAAATCCAATACTAAGTTTAGTAGAGTAGTAGAGCCTATAAATTTTAGTAACTGTACCAAATTTTATTTAAAAATATTTTCAAAAAATCACCATCACCTCTTCAAATTCAACACCCTGTATGTTAAAAACTAAGACGTTTTGGACCCTAGTTTATATGAACTTTTATCATTATTTTGGGTCGCAGAATACGTGGTTAAAATATTGACGTATATTATTTAGTGAAACCGTTTTCTTTTTAATAAACCACTGGCGGACGTACGGAATTTCACTTGTCTATTTTGGCAGACGGTACGTCACTGATTTCGGGAACTTTTTTTTTTTTTTTTTTTAAATAATTGTTCTAAAACTTTGGCGAGAGTAGAAAGGGCACTAATTGACTTCGGTTATATGTATAACGGTTTGGAGAGGTTACGTACTTCTATATTGTTCTTTTACTATTTTATGCTAAGATCCATGCCACTGAACATGATAAACCTATAAATAATAATAAAAATAATAAATAATATAAATTTATCTATCGTTTTGCAGGTCGCAATGGAAGCGGATCCTGATCTAGAGGAGTTTCCCTTCAAGGACCACTCTTCCTGCGGCTCCAATAAGACCGCAACACCCGGTGAGAGTTTGCAATTTTAAAGGTTCCAATCGAAAATATCGATATTTAATAAAGAAATTACTCCTAAAAATAATATTTCGCGGTTTCGGTCAATTTTTTTGACAATTGCAGTTTTTTTTTTCACTTTTCGGTAAACGTCCTGTCCTTACTCGTCCAGGTTACTGTCCGGAAATATTCGACAGCGTCCTGTGTTGGCCCGAGACTCCGGCCGGGATCACCGCGAACCTCTCCTGTCCATCGGTGTTGGGCTTCAAGAAGTCGCGATTGGCGTTCAAAGAGTGTTGGGATAACGGCACTTGGTTCCTTAACAGCAAAGGGCCCTGGACCAATTATACCGATTGCGTCGACGTGGAAGTACTGGAGGTAAGTGGTTCTTTTTTATTTCCTTACATATTACACAAGCAGAAAGAAATTTAATTTCTTTAGAAATGATTCAACATTGCTATTGAAAATTTGTACGTTTTTATGTTATTTTGGGTAGTTGCTTTTGAAACATCGGTCCTCGGCGGAAATAATTTTTTCGAGAACCTGTCAAAACAGGGGGGCAGGGGGGACGGAAAAGTTTCCAGTGGTCTAAAAAAAAATATTCCTGACGCTTTTTCAAAAATGTACAGGGTGCGCCGTGTATTAAAACTGAAAAATGGGTTCGTCTTTCGATGGAAATTGACCACAACTAAAAGACCATATTTAACTTGTCAGTGAAACAGCTAAACAGCTAATATTTTTTTATTTAACGTTTTCACCTATTGTACAAGGTGCTTACGATATACCGTGCTATATTGAGAAATATAACAGGTGTCTCAAAATTGTCAAAAAGTCTCAACCCAGATTTAAACTGTGAAATTTAGGAGCAATGAAATCTAGCCAAGTATTTTTTAAAAATGTTTGAAATTTTATTTTGGCTTATGTTGGCTTTCAGAGAAAAATCGACAACACTATTTAACTAAGAGACGTGAAGGATCCGGTACTATTACTTTTATTTCAAGCGTTTTTTCGATTATATACAGGGTTTTTCAATTATTGAAATTGCTCTTTCCCAAACAAAGGACCAGGAAACGTGGGAGATCCAGGACTATAACCTCTACCTGTAACATTTTTTCAGTTATATACAGGGTGTGTCGTTTATGGGAAAGAAATCTAAATCTAAATTATTGCCCGGAAATGAAAAACGGCAAAAGATGGGATAATTTGGTTTGGACTGTTTAGTAAACTGTGTCGAGGGATACAATTTTCTGTTAACAGTTTTCGTGCATCGTACAGGGAACACGAGATATTTGGAAAAATATTATCGGGAATGTCTAGAAGAAAGGTTGCCGTAACTTTGAAGCTCGGTGAGAATGAAAGACACTTAATACAGCTGCATAGTGGTGCGCAAAAGCACTGTAGGAAAACAATGCGTCCTTGTAGGACAAGAAGTTCTTCAAATACGAAGCTGAGTAGCGCGGAACATAGCAGAGCTACCAGTAAAGTTTTCCAACTATTTCTGTATGTAAACGTTTCTTTAACACGAATTGTAAAAACAAACAGATTTTACACAGAAACAAAGACACAACCATGAGTTTTTGGTGTTTCAGCAACGGAACGGGCAATAAACAGACGGCTGAAACAAACACATTTTCAAAATTAACCTGAATCAGCTGTTCCAATCTTAGAACGGATTTTAGTAGCCTCGAAAGAAGGATATCGCTTCTCTCTGGTCTTTTCGCAGTACTTCGCTATCAAATTGTATTTTCCAAAAAAAAAGGCAGCGGAGAGGGTGGTTTTACGTCGATACCTACTGGTTTATTAACGCTTTCGTTACAATAAAGACCGAAGATGCTTGGTATTTGAACGATATTGGCATGAAAAGGTAACTGTTTGGAACAAAAAATGATAGTTTAAGCTGATATTAGAAGTTATCATGCTATTTTAGATACGATATGTGTCGGAAGAGCCTACTATCAATTCAGGAAAGTGGGTTTTTAAGTAGTTATCTGTAGATTTAATGTAGATTTCAGTCCGGTAGTTATGAAAATACTGGTTTTGACTATAATATTCTTAAAATTAAGAGGGAAAACTAATTATTTGTCCCAGAAAGAGGGGTTTCAAGTTCATATCTGAATTTTCAATGTGGATTTCCGTACAACAAGAGGCGATAAAGCAGATTCTGGCTGAAATTTAATTGAAATCTTCGGCTATTTGAGCCAGAAAGGGCGATTTTACGTCGATATCTACTGGTTTATTAACGTTTTCGTTACAATAAAGGCCATTTTGACTAGTATTTGAACGATATTGACATAAGAATGTTTTAATCAAAAAACCATATTTTAAGCTGGTATCTGCCGTTTTGATGCGGTGTTAGATACGATTTGTATTGGATCGATTTTGACTGGAATCTGTTTGAAATCAAGAAGAAAAACCTATTTTCAATATAAAAGAGTGGGTTTTTAAGTATTGATCCGCAGATTTAATGTATATATATAATGTATATTAATGTATATGTAGATTCTGGCTGAATCTAATCGAAATCGGCAACTATTTGACCCAGAAGGGGCGGTTTTACGTCGATATCTACTAGTTATGTTACAATGAAGGCCGAATATGCCGTTTTTGACTAGTACTTGAACGATATTGATATGAAAATGTATGAATGATGCCTTTTTATATACATTATAATTTAGAAAGCCCGATTTTGACTGACATCTAATCGAACTTTTACTAGAAACGGCAACTATTGAATTCAGAAAGTAAGGTTTAAGGCTGATAACTACAAATTTGATACGCGATCGGCGCTTTTCATAAATCAAATGCAGAGAGACAAACGAAGCGCAAAATATTCGCGACGAGAGCTACGTCAGGCTGCCACTTTCGCATTCAAATCGTGCTCGCGTTGACGTGGTTGATTCTAATTTGTATTTAAATTGAGACGCTGTATAACCGTGTTTTCATATATCCGCCATTTTCAATGTGTATCCTGGCGGATAATCCGGATATATCCCAAAGATGATCTCTGGGAGTGTGACGTTCCACTATTCGGGAAAGATAGTGTGAAATACTCGTATTATATAATCTGAATGTTATAGAGTTCGTGGTGGCCGCCAATTTCACTGGTCTGCAAAAAAAAATTTTTTTCTCTCCTTGTTTTCATGCATGAATTCATCTTATTTTATGCTCTAAACACGGAATCTGATATACAAATAAGTACCACACGTAAGTTTTTAATTTAATATTTATTTCATCAAAAAACAATATTATTAAAGTATAAATTATTATAACGAAATAAAAAAATGTGGCGGCTTTAGTTTTACAGTAAAAAATCCTAAATTATATTAACAAAACTAATAAATATCGTCAGTTATTTCATTGTGGAGCGATAGAATTCAAATTATTTAGTAGTTTTCTTCCTCTTCATAGATTCTATTGGGGTTTCTCGGTGAATTGACCAACAGAAATCAGCAAGCATTGCTGCTGACCATTTTCCATTGTAGCGTTTTTCAATTTGCATTATATCCTGATGAAACCTTTCACCTGATACAGCTCCAAGATTTTCAGGAAAGAAATCTAAATGCGAGTCTAAAAAATGGATCTTGAGTGACATATTGCATCCTAAAGCTTTATAAGCAGAAAGTAGCTCCCGAATGATTTGTTGATAGTTGTCACTTTTTGCGTTCCCAAGAAAATTATGACACACCTCCACAAACACAACCCAAGATCTTTTTTCTGCTTTGCTCAACTTATAATCAAAAACCTCATCCTTCATGAGCTCACGTATCTGCGGACCTACAAAATTTCGCGTCACTGATTCGAGTAAATTTTTCTTGATGGCCAGGTTTTTACTTTGTAATGTTTGTTTCTTGCGCGGCTATCCCACTCACAAAGAAAACAGCAAAATTGTGTGTATCCTCCTTGTAGTCCAGTCAGTATAGCGACGACTTTTAAATCAGCACAAATATTCCATAGGTATTGACAATATTAAATTTTCTCAAGTAATACCTCAAGGTTTGCATAATTTTCTTTCACGCTTGTAGCATGTGCAACGGGGACAGATGGGTATTTATTACCATTATGAAGTAGAACGGCTTTCAAGCTTATTTTTGAAGCATCAATAAAAAGTCTTCTGGAAAACTTAGTTCTTGAAGAAGCCCTGCAGCATCATTACAATATTCCAAATTATCTTCTTTGGAGAAGTAACTTGTAAAACTTTCTTGCCTGGTACGAAAATATGAAACTCTGGCACTTTTAGCCAAAGATTCCACTGTTTTAACCTTGATCCGAGCAACTGTGCCTTAGATTTTGAAAGTCCCAAGTCTCTAACAAGATCATTTAAGTCGCCTTGTTCAAGTAAATGAGGTTCTGTAGATGGACATGAAGATCCAGATGAAGTGTATGAAGATGAAGATGTACTACCAGAAAGAAAACTCGATTGAGATTGTAGACCTGAAATATTTTTATTTTCAGCCTCCTCATTAACTGGTGGAACTGGAACTGGAGGTGGAGGTGGATCTAATCTCTAATTTTTTTCGAGAATCCTCGTGTAGATGTCATGCAAAAATAACAATCATTCTCATGATTTTGAGAATCACTCCAAATCATTGGTATTGAAAACGGCATGGATTTGTGACTTTCTTCAAGCCAACCTCTCAACGTTCTTGAGCAGCTATTGCAGCATACTTTTGGCAACCAACTTTTATCTAGCTCATCGATAGAAAATCCAAAATATAGCTTATAAGCTGTTTTAACCAGATCGGCCATGACATGTCGCTGTGTTTTTAGTATGTATTCCCCACAAATGTAGCAAAAACAATCTGAGGAATTTTTACAAGTCCGTGGCATTTAGTAACCTAAAATCACATAAAATTAATTTTAAAACAACTTTCAAACTTCTATTTTATATTTATTGACTCTACTTAAAAAAATACTCAAACTACACATCAAATACTTAAATCCAATGTAGAGAACACGAACTTTATGCAAAGCTTACCAAAATATTTGATATAAAAGGTAAACAATTAAACGACAAGTTTTCGCGGAACTGTTGTAGTGTCACAATGAATACTGCGCATGCGCGTACTTACTACCATAAAAATCACCTTCGGCACTTCCCTCCTTTCTGTTACAACTCTAATAGTGCGTAGGTTTTCTGTAAACACGATGACTCAATGTTAGCTCTGATTTTCTATTGATAAGAATATCAAAGAATGGGAGGTTATTATTATCACCGACGTAGCGTTTCTATAATTTTGGTTTTAGATGGAGAGCTTTCTCCTCATAGGCTTCCATAAATATATTCGCTATGATTTTTTGAAAACAATTAAATACGAAACCATCAGTTTTCCCTGCAAAGTGTTTTAAAAAGGAAGCTAGGGAGTTTTGTAGAGACGAGG